TTTTCTGAATTAGCTATTTTATTTTGTCATGTTTAATTTATATATACAAAGGAAAATAAGGATCCTTATATTTTTATGTCTCATATAATTTAATTGAGAATATTCAAAATACATATGAATAAATCGAAAATTCATTGAGCACCGCAATTTCTCTCTTCAACTTCAATAATTTAACCTTTTGTTTTCTTTAATTTCATCTCTTCTTTTTATTTTTGAATCTTAAAGTTAAAATAGCATTAGAAATTTAGATATTTACATGTATATTCAATCATTGGAATAATTAGATAAAATTTGAAGTCCCTAATTTTCATATTCATTGGAATAATTGCAAGTCAATATTTAAATGATATATATAGTGTCAGACGCGTGTATTAGAATTTTTTTGATATTCCTCTCTACCCAAATTGATATATAGGTGGGGGGAGAGGGAGGGGATATTTTACAAAGTATTCTTCTTTTTTCTTATTTTAAATATATGGTGATAGATGAGAAGATGAATTTTATTTTATTTTTACAAATCTTTTTTCTTATTTGTTTGAGTTAAAATACATGTGTAAATTGCATAAACATTTTGTTTTCAGCTGCAAATATCATCTTGGAGTGTCTTGGTGATAAGAGACTCGATTGAGATATTTAAGTGAAAATTTTAAACTAGTTTAGAAAACTATCTATATATTTAATTTTTTTTTTAAATAAGGAAGAAAATATACCATCTACGTTTTAAAGAAAATTCTCTAACTCTAAAAGACTATGGATCATATTATTATGTTCTTATAGAAAGGAAGAGTCCTAAAATTATTATACATTTTTTTAAAATGGCAATAAGAAATTAATTATTAATCTCAAAATGTACGATGGATACATCAAATATAAATGCGCAATAATTTTAAACAATTATAAACATAAGAAAACCCCTTCAAAATATTCCTAATTAAGAGAGTCCTAAAATAATTAAACAATTATAGACATAAGAAAACCCCTTCAAAATATTCCAAAAAGAGTCCTTAAAAGTATGTGATTTCTGTAATTTGCCTTTTTAAAATAGCAATAAGAAATTAATTATTAATCTCAAAATGTAAAATGGATACATCAAATATATACTATATATATAGAGCACAATAATTTTTTCCAACATTGCAAAAATATTACTATCTTGGTATAAAAAAAGAAAAGAAGAAGAAATGCATCCAAAAATGGTCTTTCACTTGGTTCTTTTGATGATATTTGTTAATGCTGCAAATGGTCAAACAATTATTATTACATGTGATGAAGCTTCTTGCTTAAAAAAATGCCAAGATGCTTATGGATCCAAATTAATAAAAGCTTATTGTAAGGAAACATTATTTGGAAATGTTTGTATTTGTGAACACAATCCAATCATCCATAAAGGATCAAGGAAGAGTTTACATATGTTATAAATGAAATAAAGAACATAAAATTATTTCTTTCTCATGTTTTTTTTTTATAATTTCACTTTCTAATATTTCATTTCGATTTCTCTGAATTAACTATTTTATTTTGTCACGTTTAATTTATATATACATAGGAAGAGAAGGATTTTTGTGTCTCATATAATTTAATTGAGAAATCACTAAATTTTGTATTTGTGAACACAATCCACTCATCCATAAAGGATCAAGGAAGAGTTTACTTAGGGCATAGATGAAATTAGAAAAGGGAAAATTGTATGAAATGGCAAACTATTAATTCAAATTAAATGTTATAGCCATAGTTTATTTTAGTTGTAATTCGCAGCAAACATCCCATTTTTTTGCCATCTGATTCGGTATACAATTAACCATTTTCGGTATACAATTAGCCATTTTATACATTTCGGTATAAAATGTATAAAATGCGTTTGTGTTTGTATAAAGCAAGAGAAAAGTATATATACAAATACAAATACATATATTTTTTCGTCATATATACTTATAATTATACAAATACAAATTTTATTATACAAATTACAATGTATAAATGAATTTATACAAAACCGAACAATTTGGACAAAATTGGATGTTTCTAGCGAATTATACAAATCAAAAGTTCCATAGCAAACAAAAAATTTGCTATGGAGCGCAATTATGCAAACTATAGCTATAACATACAAATATGATTTTTATGTTTGCTATATGTGAAAGTTGCTCATTAGAAAAATCAAATTATTATTTCTATTTCATGTTTTTTTATAATTGCACACTCTAATATACCAGTTCGATTTCTCTGAATCAGTTGTTTCATTTTTCGTCATGTTTAATTCATATATACATCTTTCAATCTGCACTTGCATATCAATAATGGAGTCTATCGTTTCTTCCTTATAAGTTTTCCCTCATAAAAGGGTTCTTAACATACTCACAAGTTTTAAGGGAGGGCGATATTAATGGTGCAAAATATGAAACTAAGTGAATATATAAGATATATATCCATTAATTCTCTACCTTTTTTCACTCAATACAATATTTTTGTACGTTATTATCACTAGGTGAAAGTCTTGGTTGTTTCTTTTATGTATCATATTTGATGAATTATACTTTATGAAATAAGTTTAAGGTCTTTTAATATATTTTGATTTAGGGTTATCAACTTTATTGAGCCGCTCTTAAAATATCATGTAAAACAATGACTAAATATAATTAGTACCCTTGTACTCATGACTATTCAATTAATTTGCAATGCGCGCCTAAATAAATTTAATATAAATATCAAGAATCTCATTGATTCGACCAGATAAAATCATGATAAATTTGATTGAATCAACAAAAAAAATTAATATCACATACTTAGTAGACAAAATTCATATCATATCATATCTAGAATCATACCGTTGAGATAAGAGACTAAACCAAAAGGAAGAGCCAATGAAACATGTCAAAAGTTGATGCCTTCACCTATGATTCAACCTAGGTTTAATTAGTTATGTTTCATAGGGTTTAATGTATCATTTTCTTACAAATCACAAAGTTTAAGAGTATATTTATCTTTTTTTCCAAATCATTTTATGGACAAAAAGATGTATTTTTGACCCTTCAAATAAGGGGTATTTAATTTAATAACATTAGGGATATATTTAGCCTTATAGTATAACGGATAACAAACTTAATTAATAAACAAAAATAGGGTAGTATTTTTTACCCTTTTTCCGACTTATTATTGAAGTTGATTAGAGCCAAGTTATTGGTACGATCCACATTATTGAGCCCAAAGCGCCTTGGATGGACTTAGAGTTTTTTGTTCAACTGAGAACAACACCTCTGGCTTAGAGCTCATATCACCTTTAGGTGTACACTCATCTCAATTCCCATTCACGATATTGGACTCCCATAGTGAAATTTCTCATACTTCAAACATTCAATCCCGAACATGGGAGGGGTGGAGGTGAAGAAGTTCCAAATCGGGCAATTATGAAATGTGATTTCTTTATATGATTTGGATAATCTTTTTAAAACTATGATATCAGAGCAAGAATCATCTCAATTCATATTTATAATGTTGGGCCCCATATTTAATTAAACATACTTCAAATGTCCAGTCTTGAGCGTAAGATGGTAAGATGGGATGTTGAAGAGTCTTACATCAAATGTAAAAAAATAAAAAAAGAGAGATCTCTTTATATGATTAAAATGGTTGATTTTCTAATTATTAGTATTTTTACTTCAAACAACATGTACTTCATTATTAAATCATTATGTAAAATACACTTGCTAGCTAGTAATATATTTGGTGTGATATGATAAATAACAAAATCACTTTTTTCTTACAACCAAAAAAAATGATTCCAATAAGTGATTGACATTTTTGTTACAAAATTAAAGAAAAAAATTGTTTCAACATTCATCTCCCCTATCTTATTTGTAATTTGTATGTGAGGAAAAAATATGAAAACTATTCAGACTTGATTTTGACTAGACGGTGCTTGAATAAGAAAAATATTTAACTTGACTCCATAAAAGCAATTTAAGTAATTAGATCAAAATTTCTATTTAAAATTATATAAACTTGGTAATTTATTAATTAATCTTCCATTTTTTCTTTTGGTAATGCGTGGATCCTTTTTCTATTCATTCAATGGTAAGAAATTAATTATTAATCTTAATATGTATACAATGGATACATGACTATATATATATCTATATCTATATATAGAGACCACAAGAACTATTCCCTCAATATTGCAAAAAAGAAGAAGAAAAAAATGGATCTAAATATGATATTTCATTTGGTTCTATTGATGATTTTTGTTGTGAATGGAGGAAATTATTATTTTGTAGAAGGTAAAGCTCACATTATTATTTATAAATGTGATCAAGATTCTTGCACAAAATTATGCAAAGAAAATTGGGGGCCTAAATTGATAAGAGCTTTCTGTGAGCCCACAAAGTTTGGAGATACTTGTACTTGTGAACACCATAATGTTATGAACACAAAGAATTTGCTTATGTGATAGAGAAAAACAATTTTATGTTACAATTATTAGAATGTTTATGAAAAGTTGCATCTCTTTAGATTTATAAAAGGACTGTTTTTCAATAGTTGTTGATTGAAGATTCGTCTACGAATATTGGGAACAATAATCTGTAACTATCAGGTATGCGATTATAGACTGTGACTATTTTGGTGTAGTTCGTGTTTTATAGACATGTGATTGTAGTATTAAACTAATGAGACAAATTCAATGATTTGCAAACTATGTATTTGAGTTTATCCATCAGTTTATTTTATGTCGGATAATTGACTAAATTTTATGAAATAAGTGTAAGGTTCTTTCTAATAATTTTGGTTTTAGATTACTAATTTTATTGAGTTGCTCTTGAGTTTTTCAAATATCAAGCCAAACCTTAAATAATTCACTTCTCATGATCATGACATTGATAAACACGACTCATAATTGTTGATAAAATTAGAAGGTATATTTCTCATTTTCTCTTATACGAATCTATAATTTTATAGAAATATAAATCGATTTTATAACACCATTTAATTCGAATAAACAAAACTAGTATCTCTTTCATTTATATAGAAACTTAGATCCACCGTTTGTTACGTTTTGACCCATTGGCTCTTTGAAACCATCTATCCCATTTAACATCTACTGGCCCTTTTGTCCTGCAAAACCAAACCAACAATCATTTTACTCTATTTATTCAATTAGTCGATTAAATTCACTATTTATTTTTTTCGATCAATATATATAGATTATATTATATATTGATAAGTTTAATTCTTCAAAGGAAAGGAAGGAAGGGAAAAAATTAAAAACATTTTAAGAATATTGTATCACACACTAATTAGTCGAATGAGTTTATTTTTGTTGCATATCATGTGTTGGTCGATCTGGTTGATGGAATACACATCTCTATGAAAGTTTCCTTTTTATTATGCTAACTCTCTTCTTTTTAAATCATATGTTTTTCGAAAGTTAGTGAAGTAAAGTTTGAAGCTCGATCCATGAATAACTCATCATTCTTTGTCTCTTCACTTATTTAAGATTTTGTTTGTGACGGATTTTAAAAAATGGTGACTTGCGATTAATTTGTATTTTACATGCTACGGACGATACTAGACAATACTAGATATATTAAAGTCAAAATTCAAAATGAAGTAGAATTTTTGTACCTCTTGGTGCTAAATAAGTCTTACTTTTAAAACCAAATAACAAAGAAGAAACGATCTTTTGTGACCACTCACAAAACACTTATAAAGACAAATTCTTTATCTATTTTGAACTTTTCCTATTGACTTCCAATTATAAAAAATAAAAAAGGGTAGGTAGTAGCCCTAATATTTCACACTTATAAATTATTTTTGAAAATAAAAATAGATCATTATTTTGAAAAATTAGTAATAAATTAAAAAAGAGTATCAAATAAAAAGAAAAATGTAAAATTTTGATAATTCTTACACTGGAAGCAGAGCATCTGGTTTGGATTCTACCACTGAAATAAATCTGCAATAAATAGAAGGAGAAATAAGCAGTCATACTTCACTCATTTAGAATAAATAGATATATTTTGATCCGAGGTTCGATATTTTATGTTGTTTAAATATGGGTGTGAATACTTGATCCGAATATAAATTTAGAAATCGAATTCTTGATCTAAGTGTACATTTGGGTGTTGGGGTACGATAAATAAATATATATTATGATGTATAAAGCATATATTTTGATTAGTTAAAGTATTTGAACTAAAATTTACAAAACTTCATTCTATATAAATATCAATACTTTATTCTTATCTTACGTAATCAAAAAACATTCTAATATGTTATATATATATATATGATGTATATAACGTAAATCCAAAAATCAAACAAAATACCCAATTCATTAATCTATCCTTCTAAGTCATAGAATGTGATCAAACTATCCAAGGTAAGTTGACCAAATCCGCAATGGATCCCTCACTCATACACACCTATGTCGTGTCAACATAGTGTGGTACGGATTTTAAATATTATGTACAGTAAAGTCGGCATTCAAATTAGAGTTCTACTAATTTTGAATTTGTACATTGCAGTGTTTATTTTTGGGGTGACACTTCCAACAACAACAAAAAATCATTCCTAACTCAAAACCTCTAACTAAAAATATCTCAATCATTTCATTATAACTCAAATCCGATAGGAATTTGACAAGCATGAAAGAAAAACCCGTTGAGATAATTGTGAATAGGAAAATAAATGAATAGTCTAGAACTTACTCTTTGCATACTATAGAGGCCTCTCCATATGATTCAAGTTTGTCCAATTCTTCCTGCATTACCATTCATAAAACTTCAACTTTAAACTTTTAAAAAAAAATATATATATACAATTAGATTTTATAAAGTAATTACAAGTATTTTGTTATAATAAATATTAATTGATAATTAGAAAGCTAAAAACAATCCTACCTTTGTAGGGTAAAAAGGACATTTCCAATAGACTGTTTTCTTAAAAGAAGTATAATCAAATCAGCATTGAAATGAAAATAATCACGATAAAATAATAAGATAAACAAAGCAAATAAAACAATATATTAAGTAAAAATGAAGAGTAAAATACTACGTGAATATATACTAAATAAGGAGAGAAGATGAGACTAACCCCTGCCTCTCCCACATAAAATTACGAGAATACTCAACTAGCTATTACCTTCGATCTACCCTAAGGCTTAATCCCCAATATCATTATCTCCAATCTTATCGAGGATCGTGTCCTTAGTAAACTAAAAATATGTCATATTTTGTACGTCTAATCAACTGCTCAAATTCCTCTACCTACCTTTACCTTTCCTAAAACCTGATAAACCCAACCTTTCTAAAAAGTCGAAAAAAAGGAAAATATTCAGAAAAAACATAATTAAAAAAACCTGAATAAATAGGATTTGTTGATCAAGAGAAGAAATAGCAGCAGCCATACGATGTTTGCCCATAACAAAATGATTAGTTGTACTTCTTGAAACAAGGCTTGAACTTGTCTCAACCATAGATGATGAAGAAGTATAATTAATTAATTGATCTTCTTCTACTTGAGGTTCATCATCATCATTAATTATAATTGATGAATCCATTAAACCCAATTAAGATCAAGAAAAAAAATGGAGATATGGGGTTGGATATTTTTATTTTTATATTAAGAAAAATGTGAAACTAATAATGAGTTAAGGTGGTAGTTGTTGTGTGAAAGCAAAAAATCAAAGTGGTGGAATAAAAAATATTGGTCAAAAAGGTTGGTGGAGAAATGGGAGTTGAGAGACATAGGAAGAATAAATTTATATATATAAACATTGCATCTTACAAATAAATAAAATTTATTCACATCGATCGAAGCATATTATATGATGTTTTTAATTAGTTTGGATATATTCTTTAATAGAAATTATGTTTAGTAGAATAATATCTATTCAGTGCCGGCTCTTGCCTATAAATTTGAAGGCAAATAAATGCCTTACGCCCTAATTTTTGGGGGACTCAAATTTCTACAAATAAAATTATGTTGTGCCGCCCCTGTATCTATTTAATATAATTTCTTGATTATATAAAAGTTCATTTACCTAATAAACATAAATTTGAGAGAGAAATATTGAAAACACCTTTGTACTTGGCACGAACTGAACTTAGATATACCCTCGATATATCTCCAATCTGTCACATGACATAGTAAATGGTCTCAAACTCTTGTAGGAGCATGAAGTTTTTAATAAAAGTTGAGAGAAATGCTGAAAATACCTCTAACCTTGGTGCGAATTTAGAGGTGTATTTCACTCATGATGCAAGATCGGATGTGTATTTAAGTTTAGTTAATCAAGTAAAGGGATTATTTTAAGGTTGTCAATAATTTAAGAATAATACTAATAATCTACGCTGAGTTTTAAGGTGTTCTCACTACTTCTCTAAATTTGAAGAGAAAAAAGTTCATACATTTAAAATTGGACAGCGGTAGTACTTTTTAACTTTTTTCCTATTTAAATTTTTTTCCAATTTCAGATTTAAAATTCTGTAAAGCTTAGAGACTTTATAATTACACGACCTAGTACTATATTTAAATTTAATGGAAGACTGGCATGAATGAGTATATATATAGACTTCAACTTTGATTAAATATGAAATATCTGAAGTTAGATTTGACAATATCAGACTGCAACTTTGAATATTTTTGCTTAAAATGTACATATAACTTAAGTCAAACAAAAATAATTAAATTTCAGCTATATAATACTTCAGACATAATATTTGAAGTTAGACTTTTTAAAATTAAATTCAGACATCATATATAAAAAATATATATTAAAATTGATATACATGTATATATATATATCCTCCTCACGATAGTGGGCCTATCTTCACGATTTTCTCGGCTTAACAATTTGAAGGCCCACTATTTTATGGTGAAGGACAGCCCAATTTCTTTTTGGGCTTCAATAAGTTCTATCTAAGTTATAATTTTTGCTTATAAGGTTAAATTTCTGGTTCAATTGAGTAGGTTCATTATCTCGAGATATCTTGAACGTTTACTTTTTGCAAAAATTAAAACTTATATAAAATGGGCAACATATCAAAAGTTTAACTTTTACCTATAATGTAGTTTATTACTCCCTATGTCCCATAATAGATGAGTACTTTCTATTTTACACGGTGATTAAGAAATCGTTAATAGGTTGATCAATTTTACTATTTTGCCCTTTGTTCATATAATTAGCCTCTTGAAAAAAATAATTGAATCTTCAAAATTTATTTAAACTTTCAAAAGTCATATTAATTGAAGGGGTAAGTGATCAAGTAATATGAGACAAATAATTTTAGTAAGATGCGCATCTAATATGAGACGGAGGGAGTAATTTATTATCATCTAATCAGTTAAGAAAAAACCTTAAATCGTTAAGAACCGATAATCTGATAATAAAAAAAATTAAAACCATTAAACCAATAACTCATTACTAATAAACCAATAACTATTTTTCTATTCGATTTTGAACAATCCGATCTAAATGATAAAAGCAATTCAAATATACTCATTACTAATAAACCAGTGACTATTTTTCGGTTCGAAAAAAAGTTCAAAAACATTTTCCGCTGCCGGGATTTGAACCCGGATTCCAAGTGACGACCATCACTATGATCATCAATTTGAGAATTGCCATTGCTACAGCGGAGTTTTTTCAGCATTTTATTGCAAACAAAATGTATTTTACTATAGCGGACTTTGTTGGATATTGAAAAATTTAATAATGGAAATTGCATAAATAGTTTTATCGGTCTAGTATTATTGGTTTCAATTTGTTTGTTATATTTTGATTTGATACAGAGTTTGATAAAGAGAATACTTTTGAATTTTTAAGGTTATATTATATAAAGATATGTCAAATGTACCACAATATTTTTTTAATCTTATGATCTTAAATATGTTAGGTGAAAAATTGGAATTAAAGAACTATAAAATAAAATAAAAATAGAACAAACATTAAAACGAAAGAAGTATGAAGTAAAACATAGATAATATTTTTTTCTTTTCCCAAAAGAAACTTTTATTTTCTCTCTCAAATTAGGATCAAATATATCCCTACAATTTCTTGATGTGACTTCAAGCATATAAATATTAGGCATAATAAATAAACATGACTCTTAACTTGACGTCAGTTGGCAACTATGACCTTTAACTTTGGGTGTGCACAGGTAGGCACTTAAACTTGTATAAAATTGAACAAATAGACACATTCATCCTACATGGCACCTGACATTGCAATTTTGTGTCCTACGTGTATTATGCCATGTAGGACACGTGTGTTTACTTGTTCAATTTTATACAAGTTTAAGTGTCTACTTCTGTACACTCAAAGTTGGAAGGCATAGTTGTCCGCTGAATTCAAGTTAAGGGTTATGTTTATGTATTATGCCTAAATATTAGCTAAAGACAACTTCAGACATTTTTTTTAACTTCCAAACACATTATATAACGACGGAGAATGATATACTATATTCAAACATTGTATTCATTAAAATAATTTAACACAATATAATACAATACAATACATGATAGGTTACCATCCAAACAAAGTGTTAATTAGAGTTTCGATTCCGAACCATGGGTGAGGAAAAATTCTTGATAGAGAAAGCTACTCCTAAATAGGTCATATCCCGTGGAAATTCATATTAGTCAAGATTCAATATTGATAACAGACACCAAATAAAAAACCAAAAAATATATTCCAAACACATTATGTAACAACGGAGAATGATACAATATATCCAAACATTGTATTCATTAAAATAATTTAACACAATATAATATAATACAATACATGATAGGTTACCATCCAAACAAAGTGTTAATTAGAGTCTCGATTTCGAACCATGGGTGAGGAAATTTTTTTGAGAAAGCTACTCCTAAATAGGTCATATCCCGTGAAAATTCATATTAGTCAAGATTCAATATTGATAACATACACCAAATAAAAAACCAAAAAATATATTCCAAACACATTATGTAACGACGGAAAATGATACAATATATCCAAACATTGTATTCATTAAAATAATTTAACACAATATAATACAATACAATACAATACATGATAGGTTACCATCCAAACAAAATGTTAATTAGAGTCTCGATTCTGAACCATGGGTGAGGAAAAATTCTTGATAGAGAAATCTACTCCTAAATAGGTCATATCCTGTGAAAATTCATATTAGTCAAGATTCAATATTGATAGCAAACACCAAATAAAAAAACCAAAAAATATATTCCGTTGCCGGGATTTGAACCCGGATTCTTTCATCAAGTATGAGAATTGCCAGTGCTACAACGGAACCTTTGGTTATTGTTGTGGGAACTAAATATATTTGTAACGGGAAAAAAACTTAATTCACATTATGGCACAAAATAACCTTAAATTATTTATAACATCTTAATTTTTTTTTCCTTCTCACAAATGAAACTTTTTTTTCCTCTCAAATTAAGATTATTTTTCAAACTTTTTTTACAACTAATAGTATATTGTGATCTATTATAAAAAGATATTTTTTCCATTTTTTAAATTTTATGTTATCAATTAATGAAATAAAGTGGGAAATGGATTAGGTGGAGGGTCATAGAAATTGGTGAAAAAGGCTTTTTTTTTCCTTTATGGTTTCCCTCTCTCAATATTCGAAATCTCCATTAGAATCTCGATACTAAATTCGAATCGTGCATTGCAGGATCCAATCAAAGATGACTCCTGAGACCTCTAAAAAATAATTCCGCTGCCGGGATTTGAACCCGGATACCACAAGTGATGCCTTTACAAAATATATTTCAACTCTAGTGAACTTTGTTGGATATTGAAGAATATAATATTGGTAACTCCATAGATAGTTTTATCCGTAAAGTATTATTAGTTTCAATTTGTTTTTTATATTTTAACTTGATACAAAAAAATTTTAAAAATAAAATAAATTTAATTTTTTTAAGGTTATAAATAAAGATATGTTAAATGTACTACAATATTTTTTAGTCTTATGATCTTAAACATGTTATGTAAAAAATTGGAATTAAAGAACTACCAACAAAAAAAAGTAGACAAATAAATTAAGAGGAAAGAAGTATAAGGTTAAACATAGATAATATTTGAAAGTAGAGGAGTAAATTTAGTCTTTTTTTCCCTTAAATCTATTAACATACATTGATGTAGAGGTGGAGTTAGTATAAAGTTTACGGGTTTGATGAACCAGTCGTTTTTAGTCTAAATCTTGTATTTATTAAAAAAGAACAGAGATATTAAATATGTATAAATTTTTTTCTTAAGACACAATAATTTAAATGACTCGAAATTTTAAATTTGTATCGTATCGTTTAAATTTATCGTTAGGTTACGATGAAAAGATTAATTTTATGTAACAATCGATTTGGTGTGATCGTGCACTTACCTTACGTTAATATTTTCTTCTCATTCTTGTCTTTATTTATTATTTAATAATCATATTTCAGCTTTAACCCTACTTTTTCATAGTAGCTCTACCTCGTACCCTACTTTTCTTGTAGGTTTATCATTCAAATCATCATGGAGTGTGACATTATGTAACATCGGAGAGAATGATGCTATTTATACAAATAATGTATATTTATTTAAACAATACAGTACGATACAATACAAAACAATACAACACAATACAATACGATATGAAATAATGTGTAACAATCATCCAAACAAAGTGTTAATTAGAGTCTCTATTTCGAACCTTGGGTAAGAAAAAAATTCTTAATAGAGAAAGCTACCCCTAAATAGGTCATATCATGTGGAAATTCATAATAGTCAAGATTTAATGCAGGTAGCAGACACCAAATAAAAAATCAAAAAAACAAATATAAGTAAAACTAATATCTCACAAAAAATTTATTCCGTGCCGGATTTGAACCCGGATTCAAGAAATTTGAGAATTGCAAGTGCTACAACGGAGCCTTTGGTTATAATTGTGGGAACAAAATTTATTTGTTATTTGTAAAGAAACTTAATTCATATTATGGCATAAAACAACCTTAAATTATTTATAACATCTTAATTTCTATTTTCTAACAAATAAAACTTTATTTGTCCTCTCAAATTAAGATTATATGTAAAACTTAAAAAAATATTATCTATGGTATATAAACTCTCATCTTTTCTTTCTTTATTTTACCATATTTTATTTTATTATTCAATAATTTTAAACTTATTTCTGGTACATATTTTTCTAGTGAGAGATATCGTAGATTTTCTTTTATAACAAATGATAACGATGTGAGTGATTTTATGTGCGAATAGTTGTAAGGTTAGACCTAAATGCTATTTGAAAGTAGAAGATTAATTTGATCTTTTCCCCTTGAATATATTAACATAATTAACCTCAAAGTTTCTTTAAACTAAGATGAAACTATTATTCTTTTTCCCTCTCAAATTAAGCTAATTTGGAAAAGTATGATTATGTTTGTTCTCTCCATGTTTTTTTCTTTTTTGGAAAACTTTTATCCTTTTTTACACAAATGGTATAATGTGATCTATTATAAAAAATATTCTTTTTCCAATTTTTAAAATTTAATGTTATCAATTAACGAATTACATACAATCATCTTCTATGTAAAACTAATCGATCCTACATATATTTTTTTACACCGTTAATATATAGAGCTTATAGTCGAATACAAAAACCTTTCAACTCAAAATAATATGATAGTCGATATGCAAAAATATGTAGAAATTATATTATTCTTTTCTCCCAGAAAATAAACTTGAATACATTCTTAACCATAAACAACTTTCAATTGATAAATAAGACACTTACCAATCAACACTTAGGCACAACCCACAATTCCATTCCAATCCCCACCCCCACCAAAATAAAAATTACAATGAAAAGGGAAACACCCTTAAATTATTATTCACGAATGAATTAAAAAACGTCGGTGCTGATGTTACCAATCTTAAAACTTTAAAAGAAACAATTCAACTAATTAGGACATTGGAATCCATAGGGAACTTTCTTGGAGCAAACATTAAGAAGCAAGCTTAATGAAATAGGGACATTAAGGTTAATCCCTAAAACATTAGCCTTAAGAGCAGTACAAAGACAAAGGGCAGCCTCAACATCAGCAAGTCCAGAAATAAGACTACAACAAGGTGTGACTGGTGGTGAACCAACAACAACATTAACTAATCCAAGAACATCTGCACAAACACCTAATTTTAAGGTATCAATTGGACAAGTTTTGTATTTTGGTTCATATGGTGGTGGTGGTGGACATGATGGCTTTGGTTTAGGTTTAGGGCAAGTGTTACAACTTGAAACAAATGTGAAGAAAATTAGGTTAAGGGAAAGGAAAAGAGCAAGAGTAGAGAAAAACTTCTTGGAAGCCATTGTGAAAAATAAATAAATGTATTCTTGGAGAAATGGTGAGTGAATGATTTGTGAATGGATGGAAGTATTTATAGGGTTGAGATAGTATATACATACATATATATCATAGTTATTTTACTTTCTTTTGTCTTATTTTAACTGTCGTTTTAGTATTAAAAATTTATCCTGATACTACAATAAAAGAAATACTTAGTGTGACAATGCATTTTCCTTTTAGAGGCATTATTTATTGTCGCAAAAATATTTAACGGCAATTGAGTTAATGTTATTATATCAAGAGTCTTAAGCCTGATGGCATTTATATAAAGTATTAATTTGAATGCTCATATTCATTATTAACACCAATTATAAAATAGCCAAAATTATATTATCATCGCAAATTCCTTTATTTGTTATAGTGTAAAATAATTATCACTTTAAAAGTTCAAGTCAAAAGTTGATAATTATGTCCAACTATACTCTCAAAATTTAAAGAAATATGCACAATATTTAAGAGCAAAATTAGTTTACCATTAATAAATAGGAATAATCTAGTAAATTATAACTTATATTTGTTGTTCTTAATAATAATAATAAAAGGAGCTAAAACGATAGTTAAAATAACACGAGAGTATTTTTTTTTTGGTCCTCTCTCACTAGGGTACTGCTTTTCTTTTTAATTTATATTTTTGTTTTGTCACATAACATAGTTAACCTAATTTCATTTACCCAAAACAAGCTATAATTTGGGTAATACTCCAAGTAAATTCACAAAATTAGACAATTCTTAGGTTCAAATTTCCAACTCTAACATTAATTACAATAATTATTCCATGTTTTATCTAGGAATATTTTTGTTCAAATTTTATTTCTGGGTAGAAAAATAATTACTTTCTAATTACATTTGAAACAATGACTAAAACTTTGATTGTCGGTTCAAAATACTAGCATCTCTCGCCTAATTTTACGCATTAAATAGAGTGACATGAATATAAGCAAAATTATATAATCGACTCAAATTTGCTTAAGACTGAGGCACAATTATTATTATTATTATTATTATTATTATTATTATTATTATTATGCTAAAAGTAGAATATATTCTTATTACTTTATTTACTTTGGTGTTATAATACACACAAGATGGAGAAATTATAGGCACCCATGTGACATTATGTTATTATTTTTGGATCTATGCAAAAAACACAGCCAATATTTTGGAGGTATGTTATGAATACACAAGTTGTATTCTGAATTTTTTGATCTATTAATTAATTAATATTCATCAGTTTTAGTTTCCAGCTAATTAATTTAATTATTAGAACACATAATTCTAGAGAAAAACAATGGGCTATATGCATATGGTACCATATGTTTTTTGTCCTCCTTATATTAGTGATGATTGAGGGGTCCTCTTTTTGTAAAAATAAATAAAATAATATCTTTTTGTTTCATCAGCAGTGATTGTTTTCTTTTGGAGTTTATCTAAAAAAAAATGATTCTTTTTAGTTATAATTCAATTTATTTCTATTTTTATGGAATTTGTGTTGAAAATGAAAGAAATTAAATAGTTGCATTTCTAGTTTGTTTTGGGTTAAGTAGGAGTGAGAGATGGAAAGTTACATGACCTCATGTGCAACATTGTTATTTCATGTGTGAGGGAGGACGGGTCGACAAGTAATAACATGTAAGTGATAGTTTAAGCGAATCTCATATCAAAAATAGTAGGAGAGTTAAGATTTTTTTACTAAAAAGTTTAAAATTTGAAGAAGAAAATGCGCGAATTAATTAATTGGAGTTCGATATTTACTATATAGACATAAAAAAAAAATACTCTTATCCACTGAAGGAGTTCAGATGAACCCCGAACCACAAGTTGGTTCTGCACCTGATTGAAAATGGGAAAAAAAAGCTAAAAAGGTTTAGAAAGGCAAAACTCAAGTTTATATGGTAAACATGCGTTTTTGGAGTTCGGTGTAGCTTAGCCCCAAAGTCGAATTTGTATAGACCTAGATTCAAAGTAGATAATGTGTGATTGATTGAAGTCGTGTCATCATGATCATGTGAAACTCAATTGATAATCAAATGAATTTGACTTGTATAGATTTTGAAATTAAATGGAAGATGTAATTAAAAAATTTAATCGAATAATTTGTAATTTATTATTATAAGATTAATTCATTTTTTGTGAATTAATATTATAATTGGAAGCATCGGTTAATAAGTCTATGATCCTTACTATGCCTGACTAATTATTGATCCATTCATCTATTAGCTTAATCCATTTCAATTCAACCCATTTTAGTTCATCAAAATTTAAATTGATATCTAACCAAATTCAATCCAACCCGCTCATTTGCCACCTATATATTTCTCGACTTATAAGAAAAGGGAAAGAAAATAAGATGAATCACGGTTGGTTTGCCATTGTGCCACGAACTCGGGCTTCCATATAGTATAGACCCGAGTTATTCCATAGATAATATTGATAGAAAATAGCATATATTCAATAAAATAATTGACATGCACTTAAATGGACGGATAGTACATGAGGGCTTCGTTTTTTTTTATCAAAACCTAACAACTTGAATCGATTTGGTCAGTTTTTTCCTCACATGAATATTATCTTTTTGGATTTATAGATAAAGTTTTGATAAATCAAATACATGTTTAGTAGTAATTAACAAATATATGTACTATTAAACACATGATTGTAGTTTCTTACTAACAATAATTTTTCTAGATGTACTCGTCTAAACTTTACTAAATTGTAATAATTAAATACAAAAATCAAAATAAAATCTGAAAACTGATACACTTTGTTTGATTTTAATTTTAAATATTATCAATGATATACCATATCAAATTGGAAGAAAATATAAGAGTTTTGTTGGTCCCAATTCTTAGACAAAAACAACCTAGGACCAATTAACCTAGTTCAGTATGTACCACATTGCAGTGGCGGAGCCAAAATTTCAATAAGGGGATTCAAAATCTGAAAAAATAGACACACGAAGTAATCGAAGGAGGTTGGACATATACTATATATACCTAAAAAAATATTTTAACCATATATAAATAATATAATTTTCCTATAAGATGGCTTCGACATTGCCACATGGTGTTATCCCGAACTCTCTCAACAAGAAATTACACTGTATATTTATAAGATAGTTTATAGATCTTGAACAACATGCAAAAGGTTAGCTATGTAGTTCAAGGCATTCAAAATGCACACCAACCAATATGTCAATATTTTGAATTATTAATTATTATAACTTAAGGTATTTTTTAATGTAATTTATATATATGTAAGTTTTATTTTAAACATAAATAAATTGTCCTAGGTATAAATTCATACCCATCAATACATTTATTTATTACAAAAGAACAAAGATACCGCCAGCTTAAAATGTTTTTTTTGGCATGTCCAAAAATTATCAGAGTAGATTTCTAGGGAAGACAAATGTGAGATGAACTCTTGTGAGGATAAAAATATATCTACCGTCATTATCTTTCCTTTTTTTTTTTTTTTTGTTTTAATATAAGAAAAAAAATGTAGATTCATTATTTTATTTTTTAATATAACTAAAAAAAATGTAGTCATTATCGTTATAAATTATAATCAATGAGCATTTTGTCTCTCTTTATATTAATTTAAATATCTTCTGAGAAGGTCCAAAGATGTCCTCATACTAGGTTTTATTCCAATATATTGTTTCTTTTATTTCTTTGCAACTTGAACAAAAAACTTAAGATCTAACCTAAGTTGTGGTGAAGTGGTGAAATCGCTTCATTCTTAATTAGAGGTCACGAATTCAAATTCTGAATATGAAGAAAATCATGTTGGGAGTCATCCCGAATAGATCATGCAGTCGGAATTTAGTAACACTAAGGGTGTGTTTGGTATGAAGGAAAATGTTTTCCAATTTTCTCATGTTTGGTTGGGTTAAATGTTTTGGAAAATGTTTTCCAAATCAACTCATTTTCCTCAAATTTAAGGAAAATGACTTCCCTTCAAAACTTAAGGAAAACATTTTCCAAAACTCTCTTCCAACTTCCAATTAAAAAAAAAATTGTTGAAAAAATCAATTTATTTGGTCCCTACCCTCAAACCACCCCCCAAAAAAAATAATTTAAAGTTTGTTTTTTAACTTTAAAATTTCAATTTTTCACCCCTACCCTCGACCCCCTACCCCCCACTCCCACTCACCCCCTACCAACCCCCACCCCCAAAAAAATATTAAGTTTGTTTTTAAAAAATATTTTCAATTTCAACAATTATTTTCTACTCTAGTAAAAATAAAAGATTTTTTTCAAAAACATTTTTCATTCATAAATCAAACACTAAAAATCTTTTTCGGAAAATATTTTCTACTCACCAACCAAACATGAGAAAATAAGTCAAAAATTAACTTGTTTTCCAAGAAAACATTTTCTAGGAAAACATTTTCCTTCATACCAAACACACCCTAAGTGAAAACAAAAAAAAAGAACAAAACTTAAGCCCTCAATATTCCTCCATAGTCATTCTATTATTTGCTTATGGCAATACAAGTGTCTCATATATTATTTAATCATGAAGTTGATCTAGTGCTCATTTATTTTTATTAAGATTATGACATCTGAATGCACATTAGAATTCAGAAGTCTAAATCTAAATAAACATCTAAGATATGGATATTAAATAATTAAGACAGTTTGTTTTATTTATATTTAAATTGATCTAATATTATGTCAACAAAATATTTTAATTTTTTTTTTAAATGATAATTGATGGTGGTGACAACTAAGACAGTATGTATTTTACATAAAAACGATCATATAGCACAACCCAAAATACATTCATTAGAAGAAAAAGATTATTTTTACTACAGTAGTTTAAGGTTATCTGAACCTAAACTCCACAAAATTTCTACTAAACAAAAATTTAAAGCACCATGAAGTGCACAGACAAACAATTTGGCATGTTGAGCACCAGTTGGCATTTCCAGCAGCTTTCCTCGAAAGATAAGCGATTACGACATATTTTAACAAGCAAC